TTTGAACAGGCGGTGCTGGATCCGAAGAGAAGTCTGGAAGCAGGCTTCGAATACCACGACCCATCAAAAGCTCCGATGGAGAGCGACCGCCTTCCAGCGGAGCCGTACGGTAGCTAAGCAAGCCGAGCCAGAAGTCCTCTTTTGTTGATTGTGCTTTTCGGAGTAGCCGCTTCACCACCTGGACGCCTTTCTCCGCGAGGCCATTGGAGCGGGGATACCCAGGGCTTGACACTGTATGAATAAAATCATACCGCGTTGAGAAGTCTTTGAATTCTTTTGCAGAAAACTGTGGCCCTCCGTCTGTGCAAACTTCTAATGGTATTCCATGACGTGCAAATATTTCTGACAGTTTGGAGATCACACCATTAGCAGTTGTGTCACGAAGCTCCTCCACTTCGGGATAATTTGAGTACGCGTCATACACCACTAGGTAATGTTTACGACCAAGTTCGAACAAGTCAGCCCCAACCCGACCCCAAGGATGACCAGGCACCTCACGTGTATGCAGAGGCTCATCCTGGTGTCTGTAGGTGAAAATTTGGCATGTCTCGCATTTTCTGACTAATGCAGTAATATCCGCATTCATACCTGGCCAGTAGACTAAGTTCCTTGCTCTTGATTTACATTTGTTGAGGCCTAGGTGACCCTGGTGTATTCTTGTAAGTATTTCTTTGCGCATTGCTGCTGGTATTACAACTTTGTTTCCTTTCAACAAGACTCCATTGATGACCGAAAGCTCTGTCATAACGGACTTCAGCTCACCCCGAACTGGAGTTCCAGCTTCTAAACTGGCAATTGCCTCCTGCAGGACGGGATCGCCTGCTGTGGCTGCCTGCAGGCTGCCCAGGGTCCGGCTGCCTACCAGTGTTGAAAACACTGCATTTGCATGTATTTCGACGTCGGTCGTGTCGTCTTCTGCTTGGGAACCACCGGAGATTCGGGAGAGTGTGTCCGCGATCACCAGCTTCTTTCCAGGGACAAACTGTAAATCAAATTCGAACTTAAGCAAACGAAGAAATAGTCGTTGCAACCTTGGTGGCAGGTCGCCTAAGTTTTTCTTTGCAAGGGCGATCAAGGGTTGATGGTCAGATTCAACGAATATTTTTCTTCCGAGTATGAATTCGGTAAATCTTTCGCACCCAAATACAATTCCCAGAGCCTCCTTTTCGATCTGAGCATATCTACGCTCTGTGTCTGTGAGTACTCGTGATGAGTACGCCACCACTTTCCAATCTTTTCCATCATGCTGGAACAAGGCAGCACCGAGAGCAAATGCAGAGGCATCTGTTGAGACTTTGGTGGGTCGAGAGGGATCAAAAATTGCCAGGACCGGTGCCTCAGTGAGCAATTTTCGCAGTTGTTGCCACTCAGTTTCATGAACCTTCTGCCATTCAAAAATAGTGTCTTGTCGAATAAGTTGACGCAACGACTCTGTCTGCGTTGACAGGTTTGGCAAGTACTTTCCAAAGTAGTTAACAGCTCCTAGCAACTGCTGAACCTCTTTCTTACTCGTTGGAGTTGGTAGGGCTGCAACACATTTCACAAGTTCTGGATTTGGCTCAATGTCAGCTGCGCTTATTTTATCTCCTAAGTAGGTGATTTCTGTGACCCCGAAGATGCACTTCTCCAAGTTAAGAGTTAACCCTTCTGTTTGTAGAGCATGAAGCACAGCACGCAATCGTTGGTCATGTTCTTCCCGTGTTTCGCCCCAAATCAGGACATCATCAATATACACCCGCACACCTGGAAGTCCATCCAAAAGGTAACTCATAGTGCGCTGAAACACCTCGGGGGCTGAAGCGATTCCAAAGGGTAGTCTGAGAAACCTGTAGCGACCAAAAGGAGTGCTGAAGGTGCATATTCGAGATGTACTGTCATCCAACGGTATTTGATGGAAACCGCTGTTGGCGTCGAGCCGGCTAAAGTATGCGGCATGTGCCAAGTCTGCTTCAATTTCCTCTCTCCGAGGCAGCTGAAAATGCTCTCGCTTGAGTGCTTTGTTTACGTGACGGGGATCCATGCATAATCTTAAGTTGTTGTTTTTCTTTCGTACTATAACCAAGGGGCTCACCCAGTCGGACGGTTCTGGTGCCTTCGCGATGACACCTGCTGTCTCCATTCGGTCGAGCTCTGCCTTCAGAGGCGCACGTAGCGCGTGCGCCACCCGGCGTGCTGGCTGGATCACCGGTGTGGAGTTGTCGCGAAGAACCATCTTGTAGGCTCTCTTTGTGCAACCGAGACCACGAAAGAGACCGGGGAACTCGCGCTCTACTTGTTGGCGCTGCTGGTTCTCGTGCTCTACAGTGTTGACCCGGTTGACGAGGCCAAAGTGCTCGCATGCTTTCAGGCCCATGATGGCTTGCCTGCCCTTCTTTACTATAAAGAAATCGATGAAACCTTGTTTTCTGCCGACAGATACCGACAGGCGGACTTTTCCCAGATGTTGTATGATGCCACCTCCGTAGCTATGCAGAGTTGCAGTCGTGTGTTGAGGCCGCTGCTTTTGTTTGATCTTCATAAACAATGTTCGAGGGAGCAGATTGGCCTGTGCACCGGTGTCCAATTTAAGCTCTACCTGCTTCCCTTCTATGGTAGTATTCACGGTCCAGTCACGGTTGCCGACCGAATGCACGCTGCTGGTTGACAAAATCTCAAGCACATCAAAATCGCTGCTTGCCTCACTGGTTTCTTCAACGTCATGTACGCCAGACTGCTTAGTCTTGCAACATACTGCAAAATGATTTTTCTTCCTGCATTTTGAGCATGTCTTTCTGTAGGCTGGACATTGCCTTGGCGCGTGAGCTTGGTTGCAGAAGCGACATCTCGACTTGTCTTTCTGCTGCTGCTTGACTGTCTTAACGATTTCCACCTTGGCCGCTGCTTCACTTGACCCTTTAACTGCCGCGTCATTCCATGTTTTGTTGTGGACATTGGCTGTTTCTTCGGCCTTGCAGCATTCAACTGCTATTTCTAAAGTCAAATCCTTTTTCCGCAGGAGTTTCTCTCGAATCTTCTTGCTTGACGTTCCATACACGATCTGGTCTCGTAGCATGGAGTCCTTTAGGTCGCCAAATCCACAGGTCGCTGCTTTCAGCTGAATATCGCGGTAGAAATGTTCAAAAGCTTCTCCTTCCTCTTGTCGCCTCGTTCGGAACACATAGCGTTCGAACGTCTCATTGCATCTCGGAAGGCAGTAGGCTTCGAACCTCCGTACCAGGACATCGTAATCTTGGGCTTCTTCAGCTGACAAACCAAACGTGTTAAATACCTCAATGGCTTCTTGCCCAGCGACGTGCAGAAAGATAGCGGCTTTTTGTTGCTGGTTGCGACCTTCCTTGGGCTCTCTAGCCAGAAGAAAGAGTTCCATCCGCTGCTTGAATTTTTTCCAATTCTCTGCAGCGTGCTCTCCCAGCCGCAGCGGTTCTGGTGGCGGAAGATCAGTCATGGTGCGTGGAGACTGAAGATCACTTCTGACACCATGTATCGTTCTATTACGAGCGCCTACGGATGATGGACTGTACGCCAGGATGAGATAGGAACGACTGGCTCGTCGTCGTCTTTTATTCCCGCACCGCGAGGCTATGCTCGTGGTGACTCAGACGCAGATAACCTGGCTGGGATTTACAAATAAAATGGGCCAACCCTAGAAGTTGGACTACAAAATAATAAGTAGCTTTCAAAACAGGGTCAAATGGGTGAAAGAAACAGAAAAAAAAAATACATCCGGCTTTTCTAAGAGAAGATGATAAGTGTGCAGCAACGAACGAGGATGCTTGTGGCAACAAGACCTTCACATATGATCACACCTCTTTTAGTGGTTTTTAGGGTAGAAGGAGCGTTGTCTCGTGTTGTGACATTAAAAAAATGGTCGTAGTCACTATAACCGAGAAGGACATTGTTAATTCTTGTCTGTGCACTTACCGCCTCGAGCTTCTCGAAGAGGCACACAATCACTTGGTGTCCTCCTCTTTCCGTCTTCGATTGCAAAGAAAAACAAGGAACTAAAAAAAGCGGAGATAACTTGCTCCCCCCCCCCTCCCCCCCGCCCTCCCTTTATTTTTTTGTAGAAATGCCAATTTGGATTTTTTGACTGTTGTTAGTGTCTAAAAAAAAAAATAGATTCAAGGGCTTGGTGTTGCAAAAAAAGGCTTTAATTTAATGGATTACTAGGAATCCGTTACGTCAAAATTGTAAAGGAATTACTTTAAAATTACTTTAGAAAATATGTGAATATTCCGGTACTAAATTACCGATAAATGTAAAGGATTACAAGTAATTTCGTTATTTGTAACGGATCACGTTGAAGTCAACAGGCAATGCATATCCTGTTTTCGGAGATCAGACACCTACACGCCGTTTGTTGGCCTACATGTGGCACTGAGTGCACAAAGCAACGTGCCCAAGTGTACACTTCGAAGGCACTGGTACGGGGAACGGAAATAAACACACGACTTTTATAGTATACTCGTTCATATTTGTCCATATACGGTATACCTTTACCCGCGTTCGAAAAGGACGACTTAAACAATTAACTCGCGTGGTTCTCCCTCGCGCTGCTGGCGCTTGACAGCTCATCAACATGAGACGCATGAAACTAAACGGCACACTGTCTATTTATCTGGTCCGGAATCAATCATAATCTTTCTCGTTAGACGAAAATAGACACTTGGCGTCTGTTTTCATCAAACGAAATTCAACTGCCTTAACAACTTAAAAAAAAAAAAAAAAAAAAAAAAAAAAAAAAACTTGTTTGGTTAGTTTTGGTGCAACATTTGAGTTCGGAGCAGGATGGCACAGCGAAAGTGGATTGGCGCACAATGGTGCAGCGCCTCCACCCCTGCACACCTGATCGCCGAGAAACCGAAAACCGCCTCTCGATTTTTCTGAGGGGGTCGCGCGCGCGAACTGCTTCCGCAACCGCAGCTCAACAGCCAGTGTGAGTCCCTGCGGCCGCTGAAGGTCCGTGTCTCACCCAGGGCTCTCACGAAGATGCTTATAAGTGCAATGCGAGCGAGTGCTGACTTTATTTTCATGCAGGGCTGAAGTGCACTACTTCGTCAATGCAGCGATCCAAATCGAAACCATGCCACTCCTGTCCATGTCTAAAGAGGTCCTATATCTAGACGTGCACAGTGTTGCATGCAGATTTTCGGAAGTACAGTTCATACAGGCGCCCGAGCCACCTGCCAATTTTTTTCTAATTGTCTTCTCTCTCGGTGCCGTCACTGTCACTTCACCGTTATTACAGAAATTCCCACTATTCCCACAATCACCAAAATCACCGCAATGCAATTTTCTAATAGGACACTGCACTTCCAGCTTTCCCCGTCTGCCGTCGTCCTTGGAAGAGAGTCAGGTAGACTTTCCAGCGTGCTTTTAGCGTCCTCCGCCTTGCGCTTCCAGCTGTCTCTATCGGCCGTCATTTCTCTTTGCGAGCGGATGGCCATGAGCGCCCTACGTTTCCAGTTTTCCCGGTTTTCTGTCGTCTCTGCAAGGCTTTCACGTAGGGTTTCCAGCTTGCAGCTGGCGTCTTCTGCCTTTAACTTCCAGCTGTCCCTGTCCGCCGTCGTCTCTGTGAGGCTCTCATGTAGGATTTCCAGCTTGCGGTTAGCGTCGTCCGCCTTGAGCTTCCAGCTGTCCCCGTACGCTGTCTTCTCTGTGAGGCTTTGACGTAGGCTCTCCAGCATGCGGCCACAGTCACCCGCCTTGTACTTCCAGCTGTCCCTGTCCGCTGTCATCTGTGTGAGACTCTCACGTAGGGTTTCCAGCTTGCGGCTGGTGTCACCCGCCTTAAACTTCCAACTGTCCCTGTTTGCCGCCGTCTTTGCGAGAACGTCACGCAGCTCTTCCAGGTTGAGGTTGGCGTTGCCCGCCGTGAACTTCCAATTGTCCCTGTCTGCCGTCATTTGTGCAAGGTCGTTGCGTACGCTTTTCAGCATGCGAATGGCGTCCTCTGCCTTGAGCTTCCAACTGTCCCTGTCCGCCATCGTCTTTCCAAGGTCGTTGCATAAGCCTTCCAGCGTGCGACTGGCATCCTCCGCCTTGAGCTTCCAGCCGTCCCTCTCCAGCTTAATCTCTGCGAGGGTGTTATCTAGGCATTTCACCAGCTCGCTGCGTTCACTCGCCTCTTGCTGCCACTTCTCCAGGCTAGCTGTTGTTTCTGTAAAGATTGGGAGACACGAATAGACACTTTGCAAATTTCCCAAGCGCCCCGGCCCGCGCGCGAGCAATTATGGGAGAGACTGTCCCTCGCCTGGCCGCTCTGCCTTGAGATCGCAATGCCTTGTCGCTTGTCTCCTCTTAATCCTCTGGTTTTCGATTCCATTACCTATTTTTTATCTATTCCAGTGTATTTTTTATTGCTTCAAAGTGTTTCAATTTTCTTCTGCGCCCGATATTTCTTGCATTATACGAGGTGTGATCAGAAAGTTCCGGGACTGATTTTGTAGCGTAAAAAGAGAGGGCAGCACATTGATGCGCGCGCAGCCGTCGGAGGAAGGAACCTTCGTGCCTCACTACTATACAAAAGGGCGTCGCTCTGTGAACATGTGGAACTGCGCTACATGGGTTTCTGTGACCACGTGCACGGGCACAACGGCGATCTCACCATAGACTGCAAACTAGAATGAGAGCGAAGATCAGTTTTACGTTAAACTTGGTAAATATAAAACAGAAACCTTTGAAATGATTTAGCAGGATTAAGTCTAAGAGCGGTGAATTTTGTAAAGTGTTTTAAGGGGCACTCGCGCTTCAGGAACGACGGAATATCGCTGGAAGACGAAGAGCCGTAAGGCGACCTTATCCGACCTCTCCTTGACTACAGTGACGCTATGCCATTCTACAGCCGCAAGTGCCACTCAAAACACCTCGCGCACCTCACTGCTTTTTGACATAAACTTTCTTAATAATTTCAGAGGTCTGTTTTAAATTTGCCGAGCTTGACGTAAATTTGATGTTCGGTCTCGCTTTAGTTTGCAGTTTATGGAGAGATCGCCATTATGCTCGTGCATGTGGTCAAACAAACTCGTGTAGCGCAGCTCCAAATGTCCATAAAGCGACGCCCTTTAATATAACGAGACAAGGAGGTCCCTTTCTTCGACTGCTGCGCGCGCATCACTGTGGTGCCCTCTTTTTTTAAGCTGAAAAATAAGTTCCTGAACTTTTTGATCACACCTCGTATATAGCATTTGTGTCTTTATTTTGCCTTTATCGACAGGAGTGCCGACGAACAACACGCCGCTTCGCGTGTCGTCCTCGGAATAAGTACTACCGTTGCTACCAATTCCTATCGCGCTGTTAGCTGTTCATATTGATTCGATTGAACCGCGTGCCGTCGAGAGGAGCCGCTTATGAACACACGCGCACATGTCATAGACAGAGCTGTCGGGCACATGTCATGTCATAGGCAGAGCTCTGAAGACTGAATCAACAATCGTGACGCGAGAGCCGAGTGGCCGAGTGCGGTGCGATTAAGCCGCCCGCGCTTGCTTCGTTGACTCGCACTGTAGCGTGTCTTCGAGTGCCGCTTACTTGACTAAGATACAGCTTGCCGCTTTGCCGTCGCGAATCATTTGTTCGAATGCCTGCCGTTCGGATATACCGTTCGGCATATCCAACGCTGCGGCGCGTGACAACGGCACGCAGTTGTCTTCACCCAAACGCTTCGCAGGACGCTGTCTTTTGGAAAGCGGTGCCAGGAAACATATGCTGTGCGCTGGCAGTATTCTTTGCACAGCCTGGCACACAGCAAACTGTATCATGCGGGCATGTTGCTGCTGAAGGTGACCTAAAGAAATAAAATACCTTGAGCTGACATCTTGACTCGAGAAATAAAATTATCGAAGGAACTACGAGTTTCAAGATGACTGCCTTGGTGACAGCACATCTCTGTACTTAAAAAAGGGTGTTTGCAACTGACAATCACTTAGCAGATAGATTTAGAAGGAATACTATAAGCGCATACAATTGCGCGACTTTGGGCATCCGGAGCTTGCGAAGGGCTCGCGTGGCTGCGCGCAGTTTGTCAGGCACCGCAGCGTTGGATATGACGAACGGTGTTACGGCTTCGCAGGCATTCGGACAAATGATTCGCGGCAACACATATTTGGACTTGAAAAAGGGCGTTGGAAACTGACAACCGCTTAGCAGATAGATTACGAAGGCATGTCACAGGCGCATTCAAACCGCGACATTGAGTAGTCGGCGTTTGCGAAGAGATCGCGCCGCAGCGTGCAGTTGTCAGGCGCCGCAGCGTTACGTATGCCTCAGCTTCGCAAACATTCGGACAAATGGTTCGCGGTGACAAAGCGGCGTGCTGTACCTTCGTCAAGTAAGCGGCAATCGAAGGCATACGCTACAGTGCGAGTCAACGGAGCGAGCGCGGGCGGCCAAATCACAGCGCACTCGGCTCTCGCGTCGCGATTGTTGATTCCGAGCTCTGCATACGCCTGTGACATGTGCGCGGGTGTTCATAAACGGCTCTTCATGACTGAACGCGGGTCAAATGAACCAAAATGAACAGCTAGCAGCGAAATAGGAATCAGTAGCAACGGTAGTTCTCACCCAGGGAACGACGCGCGAATTTTCGTGTTGTCCGTGCACTCCCGTAGAAATAGGCAAAATAAAGACACAAATACTATACTCGTATATGCAAGAAATATCACGCGCAGAAGAGAATAGAAACAGTTAGAAGCAATAAGAAAATACACTGGAATAGATAAAAATAGGTAATGGAATCGAAAAACACAGGATTAAGAGGAGGCAAGCGACAAGGCATTGCGATCTCAAGGCAGAGCGGCCAGGCGAGGGACAGTCACTCCCACAATTCCTCGCGCCACTCTTTGCCACTCTTTGCCATAGCCTGTCAAGTGTTCGGGAAAAGGGGGGGGGGGGGGGGGGGATTTCCACGTATTCCCCCGGTGATCGCCCCCCCCCCCCCCCTCCCTGTCTCAACGCCACTGCATTATGGTAGTGCGTGAAGTTAAAACAACAGCGCGAACAGAAGGTACGACACTGGACGTGTTTCTAATATTGTGTCATGTTTTCTTTTTTTAGGTCCATGACTCTCAAAACTTTATGATAATGCTGCTTTTGTGAGGATATGTGTATCGGGAAAACGCTAGCAACCACACGAAATGTTTTACATCACTTATGCGAGTAAAAGTAGTGCACATTTACTCGCTTTTGTAAATCGATATTTCCTCTTTTAGGGACATCTTCACTACAAATTTTTTGCACTTTAATTGAGCCCTATCTGAAACTACACTGATGATTGCCGACTTGATTTTGCATAATTAAGATATCATTTTGCTATGGCCTTTTATATTACAGTTCAAGCTCTGCAGAAAAATCAATTTTAAAAAAGATACTTCAACATATCACTCTCTACTATTCTAGTAGGAATCGATGCCAGGTATCGATATAGACCTGTAAGTAGGTTTGCATTTACCTGAATTCTTCATACTTCTAGTAAAAAATGTTGGCAGTTGGATAGAACGAAGAAGGCCTAAAATCTTGAAATTGTAACAAGTTCGCACTCCGAAGGAAATGAAGCCCATTTCATGTATCTTTTTTATTTTTGCATCTGAGTGAACAAGAAAAATAGGGTTTATTGTGTCAATTCCCCGCCCACCAAGACTGAACAGCCGATTATTACCCCTTATAGTGTTAATCGGTTAGGAAAACCTCCATGATGCTATCTAACGGAAAAAATCTGAGCTATCACTGAGGCTACTGTGTGCATGAGCGGCATTTTCATGGCTGTTCGATTTTTGTAGTTCATTCCCACTTGGTCGGTAAACGATGGCGGAGTCAACACCGGATGTAGTCGTGCTTGGTTAGATAGAAAAAAAAAACGATTATTATCATTTATGCCACAAACTTACCATGAAATTCCCGAAAACCGATTGCTCAAGCTGCCGACCCGGTTAATTCAGCCACGCTTGATTTGGCGGCATTAACTGAGCAACAGCTTGTCAAGTTGACAGTAATGCAATCAATTTAACAGCCGCTAAAGTCTCTAAAATGGATGAGCAAAATTGATCCGAGAACGGGAAGGCCTATTAAGCCATATTCTCACCTTTGCTCTTATATTGTCCTCGACTGTACCTTTCTAGCGCGCGAGCGCTCGCTCTGCGGAAGAATGTTTCAAAGCCGCAACCTCGTGCTCTTGTGCTTGTGGCATTATTTAGCTGCACTGTCGGTTTAAGATCATTATCCGGTAAACTTTTGTCTTTCATAAAACAAATAAATCATATTGGTACTGATTTTGGAAATACCATGCACACAATATCAATATTTTTAATCCTCCGCCGCACAGGTAGTTCAATTTTAAACAGAGCCCAACTGCTCAAATCGAGCCCGCAAAACACAGAGTGTTTCCGTTGGCAACAAGGAAACTTCAACGTAACATTATAAATAAAAGCTAGGGCAGCTCTCGACTGCTGTCTCAGTAAAATAAATTAATTCTAAGAAAGACAAGATTCAAGGCATTCAGGGAAGTTCAAGTCATCGACGATGATCTTTGTACGCATCATCGACCATGTTGATCAAAACCGAAAACAAGTCAACGCCCGCGCCTCGGACGTCACCATGCCTGATGTGACGTCACGATACGACCAGCCATGCATACTAGCGAAATTTGGCGTGAAGTTTCGTATTCTTGTCAATACTTTAATTTAACAAATATTGGAGAGTCTTTTGATCAAATAAATATCACATCTGACTATATGTGGGCCCTCTCTACGTTACCAGCGCAAGAACTCGTTAACTTCCGGTTATCTCTGGACAATCCCTTTAAAGGCCGACCAACAAGCAGAAAGAAGGAAACTCTCCCTCAATTCCTCCGTTCCATTTGAGAAAGAGGAAGACCCGCCTCCTCTCTACCGGGACCATTTCAGAGATCTGCTCCTGTGTGGAGAGGAGGGGAAAAGTGAGCGAGTGGGAATGGAGAGAAGGAAACTGGGAACCGGTTTTTTCCCCGGTAGAAGACGATTTTGTAGGTCGGACTTTAAGAGTGAACTGAGTATGCATTCCAGGATCCTGCCTCGAGGCTTCAGTGTGTCGTTCCTGAAAACTGTGGCAAACCCATTTTATAAGACGGTTTCATTTATCGTTTTTGCCGCCACGCAACGCTCTCTGCAACCAGCGACTAGATCCGGAACTTTGCAGACAAGCACACAGCGTAGCGGAGCGAGAAAAAAACGTTCTACAAAAACTACCCTTCAGTTCATTTGAATGATTAAGGTTCCGGTTATGGTTCATATCAGAAGAAATAGAGTTTTTTAGTAGATCGTTTTTATACCTCCGGCCCCGATAACAATGCCCAATAACTACCATTTAAGCGCAAAGGCGTCGGTGAAGTTCAGATACCGTTATCGGAGTGATTGAAACGATTTACTAAAAACTCCCTGGTGTGCCGTTATCGGGTATTGTTACCAAAACTATTGGAACAATCTGCTAAAACTTTATAATTTCCGTTCTAAATCCGGTAAAGAAAAAAAAAACGCTCCCCAAAGGTTTTTTATTTGGGCTACGGTTTGAGTCCCTGCTGTGGGAACAGAGTTTCTTGCCTTGTAGTCTGAGCTTGAGCATACAGCTGTGATTTTCCAGCTGGACCGCGGACACCGCCGCGCCGCAGCCCAGTTCGCAGGTCAGCATCCGGTGCGGGCACGTCTTGACGTGGTCCTCGAGGGTGCGGCGAGGACAGCGGTGCTCGCACAGGTCATGAGGGCACGGCACCTCTTTGAACTCGCACTCGCCCAGGTGCGTCGTGTAAACGCTCACGGCAACTCTGGCACTGCACCCAGGACTGCGGCATTTCACCTGTGGCCGGAAGGACGACGAGGTTTTGAAGTGATCACGAGAAAGAAGACTAGAGCCCTGCACGGAAAAAAGTTTGGTCATCCGCATATCCTATCAGCATCCGCAGACTTTGTATCCGCATTTACTGACCCGCAATCCGCGCATTCATGTTTAAGTATAAAACAAAGCGTGAATGAAAAAAAAAGTATCTGGATGGTACCTTATAACTTATCAGCCGTTTGCTTATCTTTGTAGAAAAGAATACGGTGAAAGTCATCTTATCGGTTTTCTTCCATGTTCCAAAAAATGCGCTAAACATTTTTTTTATTCTAACGTGCATATTTTATAACTATGAAAATTAATAGAGAACATAGTAGTAACGGTTCTATTTTATTTAAATCAAATAATAAAAAAGAGGGATTTAAATCAAATAATAAAAAACCTTACCCCTTTGTTCTTTACTTGTGGAAAAAAAACGAGTACATGCGCTTCTTTCGTCGCCGAGACATATTCGGGTTGTTCATTTGTTTTGTAAACGTAGTCGCCTCTTCGGTAAACCAATTGGACTATCCAGGCAATTCTGATCGAATTCTAAAGATTCACCTCAGGGAGATGGAACAAAAGGTTGGAGCAGTGCAACCTAGGTTTCGACCTGGCTTACACAGAGGAAAGACGAAAAGTAAGTCAGGTATTGCCACGGTTAATGTATGCAGACAATGTATGCCCGCCCGCCCGCCCGCCCGCCCGCCCGCCCGCCAACCCGCCAACCCGCCAACCCGCCAACCCGCCAACCCGCCAACCCGCCCGCCCGCCCGCCAACCCGCCCGCCCGCCCGCCCGCCAACCCGCCCGCCCGCCAACCCGCCCGCCCGCCAACCCGCCAGCCCGCCAACCCGCCAGCCCGCCAACCCGCCAACCCGCCCGCCCGCCAACCCGCCAACCCGCCAACCCGCCCGCCCGCCAACCCGCCAGCCCGCCAGCCCGCCAGCCCGCCAGCCCGCCAGCCCGCCAGCCCGCCAGCCCGCCCGCCCGCCCATCCATCCATCCATCCATCCATCTATCCATCCATCCATCCATCCATCCATCCATCCATCCATCCATCCATCCACCTACCTACCTACCTACCTATCCATCATCCATCCACCCATCCACCCATCCACTCTCCCACCCACTCCTCCACCCACTCCCCCATCCATCCATCCATCCCTGCCCAGAGAAGCCACGTCACATTCGTGAATCACGTGAACGTAATAACACTGTTGAACGCTGATATTCTATAGGCTCACACATGCTCGCCATTCTCGCACGCTACGCACTACGCCGCTGGTCTCATTTTCTCGCCTTCTAGCCTGCTTCTTGCTCCTATATTCTGACGAAACAAAGGATTCCATTAATTACGTCGGCGATGTTGAAGGCACCGTCGGCTCGAAAAGCGGGTGGAAAATGAGAAAACTGAAGGCTGAAGCAGACTGGACGCGGTGGGAGCCAAGTCGTCAGTGCATACAGAAGATTGTCGGAGCGGCGCCTCCATGCTAGGGGCACTGGCGGATATGTGAACGATATATGGAGAAGCGATGCAGACCACGTCACCGACCCTTCAGACATGGCGGCCTTACTCGGTGGGCAGATCCCACGGTCCCGCAAATTGATAAATTTGCCTTATGTATGCAACATGCTTACTCTAACCACTGATAGTTTATGGCACGGTTACTTTATTAAATTCAGTATAGCAACATTGAAAGTTAAAGACTCGGCACACACCTTGACATTTCCAACCATGTTCTGGATAAGTGGATGGGCGGGCACGAGGGAGGTACCCTGCAGAGACACTCGGCACAGGGGACAGGTGCTGTTCGTACGCAGCCACAGCATGATGCAGCCCTTGCAGAAGACGTGGCGGCAGCGGCACTCCACCGGTTCTCGCAGCAAGCAATGGCAGATGGCGCAGGTCAGCTCCTCGTCCAGTGGAGGGTCGCAGTCCTCCGGGCATATTTCGAGAACTGTATTGTTAAGTCCCTTGAGAAAACTCGCATTCCGCAATTTAGGTGCACTTTGACCGCTCGCTATTCGTCTCACTGTGAATACTTTCTTGAGTTATTGGTTTTATTTTAAAAGTAATACAATTCTCATTCCTCTGCTATAACTCGTGTTTTATTTTGTTCGTGGTTAATTATAACGTCGCTAGTGGGAAGGCGCAAACTCCCACTTGCTCCGCTAGTTCCCATTTTGTGAAAAGGCCATTATAGATAACACGAGTTCTATGATGCTGTCTTGTTAAGAAGATTTACGGGCAGAAATGGACGAGGGCGATTTTTAGAAAGTTTGTTTCACTTCTTTTTGTACAGGTTCCCAAATATTTTCCTAAATCACAAATTTTTAGCACGAATCTTTTTTTATTATATCTACTAGACTTAGCTACACTTTAGTTTTGGCACTTTCTTTATTCATTAAAATTTTCAAACGCAGGTTTAATGTTGCTGACACGATATTTTATTTAAAACATGGCAATATTTTATGCTTTAGAATTTAGATGATGGGAGTTCTTATTTTGCTTAGCGGGCAATTGAACGAAGTGACGAGGTGTGAAGTCTCTAAGATATGCGAATATGTGAACGAGGGCTTTTGTTAATTCTTGAAGTAACATTGTAGCAGCCTGTCAAACTTTACAGTACTTGATGAATTTGCTTTGTGAAAATACTATAAAATTAATGGCATCTAATGAAGCTGGTTGTAATAAATAAATATACCTTAATATTCCAAGAGATAGCCCACCTAAAATGGAAAACAAATCAGGTGAAAACAAGGAGCAAGCTAACTTTCGGTGTGCGATGAGGAAGTTAGGAAAAAAAAAACTAGTTTTAGATTGTGATATCTACGGAACTTGTGATCGGAGGGAGAGCTAATGAATTACAAACGACTGTCCTTCCAACTCATCAATGTTCGCGTAAATCCCGTCGTGGCTAAGCAACACATTTCTGCTGAGGTCACCAATGGCCAAGGACCTGCAATTACTAAGGAGACTTTCGGTGTCTGTAAGAAACGAACAAACAAATCTAGCCAAAAATAGGGGTAAGGTGTCTCTCGAGAATTCACTGTATATTACTATACACTAGATTTCCCCCGTGATGGGCATCCGCGTTTCTTGTTTAAATATAACTTGGGGGTGGCGCTGACGCCTCTATTATCATCATTGTCAACGTTTTTTTAGCTCTGCAAGCCGAAAATGCTTTCACGGTTTATTGATAAAAGAATGATCCAGGTAACACATCCGATTAATAAATTGCATGTTTTTGTGTTAGCTTTTATCGGTGGTACTGATCATAGCTCCCTGGAAAAGGGACAAAAGAGATTGCATTTTAGTTTATTAAAAACATTACAAGGGCGTCAACCTGCACTGATCACGATCACGCTCGTGAGCAGATAGCACGAGGGGCACTCGAGAGTCTTGTCGCGTCGTCGGCTTCATTTCTTGGGAGCAGGAGTGTATCTGGAATTTGTCTAGCCATCAACTCAGCCAACTCTTCGAATGCGCTTTATAGGTTTATTATGGTAGGCAAGAAAGGGGAGGTGTGGTGATAGCTTGCAAGTGGCACGTCCCAGTGACCGAGAACCGTCTGACACTTCATGCCGCATGTGTCACTGTTACCATGGTACTGATGATGATGATTAATGTTTTAGTGGCGCATCGACAAAAGTCAAATTTGGGGGCTTTACGTGCCAAACCAACGACGGGCATCTGACACACCCCAGCGGAGGACTGAGGATTAATTGCACGTTTTTATGCACGTTTTTATGTCTATGTCTTGCCGGTTCCACCCCATGAGCTGCATGCATCAATGAGTGCTTGTCGAACGACGACCAACTGTGTCAGGCGGCGTTTTCTGTTACTCAGAAATTACGCGTTTTACTTTTTGCTTTTACTTCTTTGCGGCGATATTGAATATATAGGAACTGCTGGATGGGCAGCAGCGTCTAATGGCCAAATTAAATCAAATCGAAGCAAACCAGGCATCGGCCGATTCCAGACTGAATGACGTGTGTAACCGTATAGGATCAGTGGAAGCGAAAATTGATAAACTTGACAATATACAGACAGTTCTTCAAGAGTATAAAGAAAAATGTGACGCACAACTTACGCAGATACAAGCTCTGTCATCCCGGGTAGAAACTCTCGAAAATCGTAGCCGCCGCAGTAATCTGATTTTTTATGGATTCCCGGAATCAAATGCGAAAGAAACCGCCGCTGCTTGTGAAGAACTTGTTACGAACCTGTGCCACACTCGTTTAGGCGTAGATGATATTCTTATCGAAAAGGTATACCGGCTAGGCAAGCAGTCTACTGATCGTAACCGACCAATCTTTGCAAGTTTTCGTTTTCTGAAAGATAAGGAAAGAATCATGTTTAATGCTCGCAAACTAAAAGGTACAAATTTAAGCATCTCAGAAGACCTCTCCGAATCTGTTCGTGTTGTAAGAAAGCAATTATGGGAATACGCGAAGGCTCACCGTCGAACGGATAGCAAAGTTGTGCTAAAACATGACTGCTTGCTCCTAGACGGGGTCAAATTCACTTGGGATGATGAGGCAAAGCTGGTGATTCAGCATTGACTACCTAATAACCGCAAAGAATGTCCAATAAACATAACCCTTGTCAACTGTAGAAGTGTGAAAAATAAAGTAGATGAGCTACGGCAGCTTGTAAACATGACTCAGTCACAGGTTGTGATCGGGACGGAGTCGTGGCTGGACGAAAACGTTCTCGATCGAGAGGTTTTCCCTGACAATTACTTGTGTTATAGAAAAGATAGAAATTCCCGCGGAGGGGGTGTTTTTATTCTTGTTCATGAAAGTATTGTTTCCAAAGAAATGCCGATTGAAACTGAAAACGTTGAAAACGTTTGGTGCGAACTTTCCTTGGGTAATGGTGAACGGCTGGCCGTCGGTGCCTTTTACAGGCCACCAGGTACACAGCCGAGCGTTTTAAGTTCACTGTCTGAAATTGTTTCTACTATTAGATGCGCTAAAATTATAATTGGAGGTGACTTTAATCTACCTGCAATTAACTGGAAGGCGAATAATCACAGGACTGGTGCAGGAGGAGAGTTATACAACGAGTTTTTCAGTCTTATGGACCTGTGTTCACTTGAACAGCACGTTCTTGAGCCAACGCGAGACGATAAAACGGGCCACATTCTAGATTTACTTTTATCCAATACGCCAGACATGATCTCAAATACGCAAGTCATCACTGGCATCAGCGATCATAAAGTAGTTGTGGCAGATGTTAACCTTGCAAATACCAATGTCGGTCGGTCAAAACCGCGGAAGGTGTTTTTATACAACAAAGCAGATTATGATAGCATGTCAGCTGCACTTGATTCGTATTTTCCAACCTTTGAAACGTTGGCTGAGGAACTGAGTATCGAGGATCTCTGGCGTGTTTTTAAGAAGAAAATAACTGAATTAACGAACTGCTTTGTTCCTTCTGCTATGCTTACTTCGAAGCGTGCACGTGACAAACCTTGGGTATCTCGCCAGCTCCGTAGCCTTATTCAAAAGAAGCGAAGGGCGTTCCTCAAGTACCGTAGCACTCAACTTGCAGCCCATCTTGCCAAGCTGAGCGAACTAACTGCACACGTAAAAACCAGCATTCATACAGCCAAACAACAATATTTCCAGGCATTTGAAGAGAGGGTGAAGAATAATCCAAAGGAGTTCTGGAGATACGTGCGCAGCAATGCCAAAAGTGATATCTCCGTTCCGCCGCTTAATCACGATGACAGTGTTGTACAAAGTGATACCGATAAGGCCCAGCTTTTGAATTCATTTTTTTATTCCGTGTTTAACCCGCCTGCACAGCGGGATGTTTCTTTCGATGCGCCCTTTGTGACTAATGAGATGCCTCCGATCACACTCCAAGTGGAAGGGATTAGAAAGCTTATAAATGAACTTGATGTAAGCAAGGCAACAGGCCCCGACAACATTTCTCCTTGTATTCTGAGGTCATGCTCTGGTGTAGTCTGCCTGTATTTTTATGTTCTTTTTGAAAAAAAATTAGATACATCATCATTGCCGTCAGATTGGAAGCTTGGTCGGGTGGTCCCGATACACAAGGGTGGCCCAAGGAACGTGGTCACAAATTACCGTCCGATTTCACTAACTAGCATCGCTTGTAAGGTAATTGAGCACGTTTTATATACAGGCATAATCCATCATGTAGATGCCTCGGGAATACTACATTCCTCCCAGCACGGCTTCGTCAAGGATACTCGTGTGTGACACAGCTAACAGAGTTTGTACATGAATTGGCAGGTGCTCTTGATGGCCGTGATAGCGTTGACTGCATTTTTCTTGATTTCAGCAAGGCGTTTGATGTTGTCTCCTATAACTTGTTAATTGCGAAACTTCACGGTTATAAAATTGATAAGAAAGTGGTATATTAAATACGCGAATATTTGTCTCTCCGTAAACAATATGTTGTGCTAAATGGTTGCCAGTCCGAATTTGCTGACGTGACATCAGGAGTCCCGCAAGGGTCCGTCCTTGGGCCGCTGTTGTTTATGCTGTGCTTGAATGATATCGTGGGTGTTGTGTCATCACCAATGCGTCTCTTTGCAGACGATTGTGTTGTTTATCGAAAAATACGAGCGAGTGATGACGTCGACATTCTACAGGCAGACATAAATGCAATTACCGATTGGTGCAAACTGTGGGAAATGAATATTAATTTTAAGAAAACTGTCCACATCCCATTTACGAGACGGCGTGTTCCGTCCCTCAGTACTTATACCATTAATGACGAGCCACTCACTGTTGCCTACGAATACAAATATCTTGGTGTATTCCTAACCTCGACCCTAAGTTGGAGTAAGCACATTGACTATACTGTCTTTAAAGCCTCGAGAAGGCTTGGCTTTCTCGCTCGTAATTTTAAGCCTGTACCACGTTCCTTGAAAGAAAGACTTTATTTTTCGCATGTCCGCTCAATTTTAGAATATGC